TGAGACTCCTGCCCTTTCCATCCTAACTCTGAGTCTTAAGGGGCACGAGGAATGTTTTACCACACTAAAGCAAACGGTGAATTGCCATTTGTGGAATAAGTCTATGGAATTTGCACCTTAGGAGCATGAACTAGAGCAGGAGTGTCAAACTGCCGGCCCGCAGGCCAGACGCGTCATCCGGAAGGCGCGCCTACCCCATTGCCGGCAATGCCAAATCTGCCCGATACGTTGCGCAACGTCACATGACGTCGCAACTTTGACATGTCTGAACTAGAGGGAGGGTTAGCACAGCTGAGATACTTGTCAGGAAACCCGGGAATATAAACCATATTGAGTCTTCTAGACTTCTCAGCAGTGTTCTGTATGTTCAACATGGCATACTTCCGTAAAGCAATCTAAGTTAGGCATGGTCAAAAAAGTGTTGCAGTTGTTCTGCTCATGCCTGAAGGCGCATCTCCAGAAGCTGATGCTTGCTCAACCCCATACAGTATCAATTAATTATGTATATCTACTCATACATTACCTTCAAAGGGCTTACTCTGCAACCTTCCTGTGTGGCATGTGGCTACTTGAGACCCCCTTCTAAGGCCTTCCAAACTGCACAGTAATAAGTAATTCTTATTCTCTTGGTCTTTTAATGCAGGGCTTTTCAACCAGTGGTATGGGCACCACCTGTGGTACATTGGCACCTGGCAAGTGGTATACAACCATCCTAGAAAAGTAGCGGGGGAGGGGAATGAGCTGAACTGGTGGTAGCACCACACAAGCCTGAGCAAGAGATGAATCGGCGCTGATCCTGGTGCTTCTGCTGAGCTCTGAACAAGCACCAACAAGCTGGAAAGCAGCACTGATCCTGGCACTTCTGCTGAGCCCAGAAGAAGCGCCGATCAGCTGGAATATTGCAATCTCTCCAGGGTCTTGTGATTTACATTCAGATGCTTGGCAACTGATTCATATTTATGACGGTCACAGTGTCCTGGGTCATGTGAAGTGACCAACACCTGCTGCAACCACCCAGCAGACGGGGGGAATAAAAACCAACACCCTCACCCCATCCCCGCTGCCAATCCTCAACAGAAATGCTCACAACAATGGAAACTCAGACAGGAGAAAGAGCGCTGTTGATTGGGCAAGCGTCTTGCTCGGCTGTGGCTTGGGAGGCACTTTTTTCAGTGCCATTGCAATTTTGAACAGTCACTAAGCGAACTGTTGTAAGTTGAAGACTACCTGTATTTTATCACTTTTTTCTTTTGGATCAGGTTTTTGACACCTTGCTAGGTGACTGGTGGTACTCGGATGTTGCCATATCCTAAAAGTGGTACAATGGGTGAAAAGGTTGAAAAGCCCTGTTTTAATGCATTAAATTTACATTTATACACTGCCTAATGATAATTTAACTGCTTTGGCTGATGTCATTATCGTGTCTTAATTGTCTATTATTATTATGCAAAATGTTTCCATTGTGAAGTTAGTATTTTGTAAACTTCCCCAGTTTTGAAGGATAGCATAGTAATTTTAAGCCCCAAAACATATCCCTTTATTTATTTCCACCGTATTTTACACTCCAGTTAACCCACTCATCCCAAATGTTTTCAGACTTTCTAAAATGAGTAATGGGGAAATCACTGACTTCTGGTTTATATCTTACAAACAAGAGACTTAACAGAGGGAGGTGTAAACAAGTAATGATGCTGCTGCTTGATTTGATTATCTTGTGGATAGAAAAATTCCTATTTTTCATCTCTCCATTTTATGCTTGCACTGCACCTATCCTCTTATAGACTGGCCCATGCGCTTTTCTATCTTTGGTTATTGGGCTTTTTTTCTGTTTGCTGTCACTGGGGGCTTCACTGATGCACCTAATCAAAGCACAAATATGCCCTAGTAATTTTTTTTAATTTTTGCTTGTGTCCCAAGATTTTGCCTTCCGCTATTTCCAGCCCATGAGCCATCCAGCTTTGGTCATCCTTAATTGCACCCGCATTAAAGCAGCGCTTCTCTCCCTATATTTTGACACTTCCTCATAAGTACCCCTAGTCAAATAACTAGAGTTACCTGAAACAGAATAAAGACAATAGGGATTTTTCAGACTTGCTGAAATCTTCACCAGACAGTCTTTCTCAAAATCACTGTATCTTATTCTGTCACCTGGCAGGTGCACGTTGTACTTCTTTTGGCAACAGAAAAAACATTTTTGGTTTAAACATGGGTTATTGTCATTTTAACATGGTTTCTGCCATTTTGATTCCAAACAATGTGGATGCACATGTATGAAATCCAGCTACAGTGGAAGATTATTGTGCGTGGATGTGGATTCCCCAATCCACTCTTTTTTCTTTACCAAGAATTGAACTAGTTAATTTTCACGAGGCATTATTACATGCATGCTCTCAAAAAATGTGTTTTCTTGTTTTGAGCTGGAACTAAATATTTTATAAATCAGCCAAATCTTTCATTACTTAAGAGCAAAAACTGTGGCCAAAAATTATGACAACATACTTTCTGCCAGGAAGGAACAAATCCAGTTTAATTTCTTTCAGTTTTGCACTTAGTCTATTAAAAAAAAACTATTTCCGCAATAATTCTGTTAGTGCCTTTTGAGTAATCCAGATCTGCACACTCCAATTATTACTTGAAGATGCAATGATTTTTTTTTGAGAATGGACTTGTTCTGGGTAAATATGGCCTCATAAATAAATATGGCTTGCAGTGACAATCATTTCAATGCAAAATCCAATGAATTTAAAAAAATATTTGCCTCCCTCTGTGTAACTTAAAAGAAACAATTCTAATTCTATTAATACTGCAATTTCTGCGCATTTGACTGTCACTAATTTCAATGAGATTTAATCCCAAAGGAAAAAAACTCAAAAAATACCGGTATTTTACTTTTCAAAAGAAAGGTCATGTAATGTTATTTTCTTAACAAGAAAAACAAAAATACCTATATTGTGATGCTTGTAATAATCACAAAATAAAGGTGTTGTGTTGACCTTGTACATTTTGTTATCTTTGCTCATCACAGCTTCTCATTTTGACAACTTTAATCTGGATATCACTTAATATAACAATAAAATTATCTCTTGAATTAAAACTAGCTATCCTACAACAGTAGCTATTTTGCCCAGGAGTCCAGACTGATGCCATTTCTGGTCACTTGATTTTGTTTGAATCTTGCCTTTATATATTTCTTTTCCTTCGGAAACAGATGCTCAAGAAGCATCCACAAACTGCACCATCACAATAAACCTGTGAGGTAGACTAGCCTGCTATTGATCCACAATCATGACTGGGTGTGAAATTTAAACCCATGACATCTTAACCTCACACCACTTGCACAAGCATTTAAACCGGCATGATTGACAGCCGGCATTTATCCCATCTAAGGAAATGCAGCCCTACCAGGTGATGCTTTTGATTACAAAAAGATTAGTTTTTAAATGAGTTACTCAAGCCCCCCCCCCACACACACACATACACCATTTTTCCTCTATCTTTTCAGAGCAAATGGATTTCCATTCACCAAAGCCCACTCCCTCGAAAACAGAGGCTGGTGGCACTTTTTTAAAAAAAAAAACGTGTTAGTGCAGGCAGATTGCTATTATCTGTTTCGGGGGCTGGAGGGTTTAAATGCGGATACTGTATTCTTGCTGGCGCCCTTGTACGAAAGAGCCTGGGAAGATACGTCGGCGATGTAGAACGAAGCGCTTTTCTGTCAGTCCTCTACAGTATTTCTCTTTTGGCTTAACATTCAGCCATTTGTACCTAATTATTGGGGGGAAATGAGTCTTTCAAAGTGGGGTCATTGAAGAAAACGCATATTTTGAATCAACGCGTATTTTCTTCCAGGAGTCTATAATCCTATATCACATCCCCGTTAAAATGCTTTCTCTCCCCCCCCCACACACACACTTCCTTAGCCCTCTCTGATCGGATTTGAGATCCACCAGGCTATGCAACCTCCGGGCCCAAACTGCGCTCAGTCGGCTGAGAAAGATCGAAAGGCTGGCTTGCATTTATTTAAAATGCAGGCCTAGTCCAGCCCAACCGGGGTGGAAGGTCTCTCTTTGCATGGCAATTGAAGTGGCAATGGAAGGGAGGAAAGTTGGAAAAAAAAAAATAGGCCGGGAAGGAGGAGGGCAAAAACAAGGCTCAGCTCTTTCATCCAGAAATGATGTCACGTCACCTTGATTTTACGGACAACTCTCGCTATGGAGAAGCTCTTGCAAGCGGATGGCCCCTCCTCCACAGGCCTCTGCGGGAGAAGCGATTACAGTACGTTCCCTGCCCCAAACAACCGCCCTTCCCCAAAAAACCGCGGGGACTCGAGGCCCTCAACTACCAAACACCTCGGCCCTTTGCAAGGGAGTCTGAAACGATCGTGCCCGGGTATCAACTTTGATGAAGGGGAAAGAAGAAGCCACAGCAGCGGGAGGCGACGGGAAAAGGCGAAGAGCCTTTTCCATCTTGGCACCTCCGTCCCCTGCAGCTGCTTCGGCGAGGACGGGAGAGAGAGAAAATCGTCCTTCCTTCCCAGGCCAGCGAACCGGGCCCTTTTCACTCTCTTCGCATGCTAAAAGGAGACAGCCCCCGAGAGGCTCGGTTGGAGAAGCCACGCAGCTGCCAGCCCAACCCCGCAGCTCGCCTACACTCGGGGGCATGTAAGCGAATGGTGCAATAATCCACCGGTCCTATGACTGCATGTGACTCTTCGAGTTGCAGCAGGGAAATAGATGAAACGAGCGAAAAGAGCCCGGCTGCCTGTAAAACCTGGACTGGAGTTCTCCCTGTGACAGGGAAGAGGTGGGCGGGAATGGGCTTTTTCGCCTTCCCGGTTAAAAGGGAGAACGGTAGAACTATTCAGTTGGCGTGGAACAGTCGAGAACGTGCTCAAAGAAGCTTGCTTTTTGAGAAAAAAATTCCAAGCGATTAAAATCCTGGAAATCTTGTGCGTTTTTTTTTTTTTACAACGTGTACAGAAGAGCGAACGGGGATCCCACCTTTCCCAAACCTTTGCTTTCTCCTTCTCCAGGTTTTGGCTCGGTTGCGTTCAGCCTGGCCGAAGACTATGATCTAATGCCTCTCCGTCTTTGTAGATAATTGCAGCTTTGCAAAAAAAAGTTGTTAGACGGCAGGATGTGTGGGCGCTCAACGATTTTGCCGTAGCAGAGCAGGCAGAAGAATTGCCAAGTTCTGGGAAATGATCAGCGGAGTAATTCCCTGGCTTTTTACCTTTGCTGATGTGTAAATTATTAACCAGTTATATTAATTCGAGCACGTGTTTATTCGTTTCATCAAAGATTTATATATTAGTGAAAGTCCTGCCGAGGATTCTTAAGGTTTAAGTAATATCTATAAATCAAATGTTGCCATTTATTTAAAACTGGCATTTTGTATATACAGTTCTGTTTTTTTCCCTCAGCACAAGTATCCCAAACAGGCTGCAGGTTGTTTTTTGTTATTTATACTTGCCTCCTCTGAACTAAGGCATAGTGAGGTGGATAAAGCAATAACCTGGACGTGTTAATCAGCGCAATTAAATCGGTCAGAGCTCGCTTTTTCCCATTTTAATCAAAGTATAAGTAAAGAAATTAAGGGTGTTTATCTACTACCTGTGGTCCTTGGGCTGACTTTCTTGAATCCACCATCCCAGACAGGTAATTGGAGCAATATGAAAATACTGATAGCTTTTAGGAAAAGGGTTTGGGAACCAACAAGTCACCAAACAGGATGATTACTGCTGCCGATTACTTCAGCTTTGTTCACACAATCCATTTAAAACCCAGTGGCTGAGTTAGCCCATTTGTTGGATTCGTATCAAATTAAGCACACAGACAATAAGCCATAACTAACACACAAAGCTTTTCATGGTCACAGAACGACAAATCCTACATTTTTATATGACCTAGACAATTGTGTGGTATGAACATGGCCCCTCTCTCTTATTGCTGGCTGTGATGACTGCTCTCCTGGATACAGCCAATGTTATATGGGTGGGCAAAAAGTCCCCAACCTTGGTAGAATTGTGGCTGCGAATGCTGTTATAATGGCTGCTGGTTGATAAGGCTTCCAAGCCTGTGTGCAGTGAATGTGATGGGAGGGGGGAGTTTTCTAGAATATACTGCTTCCAAGGCTGCTTTCTTGCTGGATAAAATCTCTTGTACACTGGAATGGAAGTCATTGAGATAGGCTGAAAAGCAAGGGGCTTGTTCAAAAAATCATTAAAGGCCTGCTAAGAGGGTGGGGGAGGGATTGGACCAATTCTAGAAAGCGTCAATTCTGCATCAGCGTAAAAAAAAATCATTCAAAATCACCTTTGTACAAGCTGTGGGTTTGTTCCGATGCGTGAAAGTATGTACTCATATGTGTATTATATTCAGATTAATTACCAATTCAGAGATTTAAAATATATCGAAATTAATCTTGATGGGGGGGAGTGGGAGAGAGAGAGAGAGAAATCCAAGCACGATCACTTCACTTAAAAAGATTCCTCAGAGATGTAAAGAGTATAAAATTCGAACAAAACCGTTGGGGCTTACATTCAGGACTGCTATATAGTGAATTAGACTGATGGAATGCTGAGAATCTCAGTTTGCCGGTGTTGACAAGGGGATTAATCTGCCCCTCCAGGTCAGAATCGTCTGGCTTTGCTTGCTTGTAGTTGTGAGAAATGATACTGCGTGATAAATTCGTTCAGGTAAGAAAATAGACATTTTGTCAACTAGCAGTACATTCTTTCTGATACAATGGTGGACTCTGTAGTGGCATCAAATCTCATACCTTACATTGTGTTCTATTTACGGAAGAGATTGTCGTAAAATGTTTTTGTGTCCATTCACTATTAAAAGAAATACACACAACAGGGCACTACCTGCGCTGCATTTCTCACTTGCTTGAGATGCAAAAACCTGATATACTGAGTAGCTAATTATAAAATAAAAACATTTTGTAAATTTAAAAAATGATTCTTGGATCAAAATTTAGGAAACATAAGCAGTCAGCAACCACTACTTTTGAAATTCATTGGAGAAGCCACCCCAACTAACAGAAGCTGGTTTATAGAAATGTTACTATGTGATAATATGTTGTAAGGAAATGATCTGGCTAAAGTGGTCTGAAATTTTGGCCACTTTATTATTAGCATTCTACCCAAGAGTTAAGAGGCCAAACTACACATAACAAGCAGTTACAAAATTGGTGGAAGATTGATTGGATCAGGGCTGTGGGTGTACAAATCCCAGCTACAAATTATATTCTGTTTAGAACTGCTATCCACAAGAAGATAAAGCATACAGGTTCCACCACTGTTTCTCCTCTATAGGTAATTACAGTGAATGGAAAGTAATCTGCTGCAGGATTTATGGATTTTCAGCCCCCCTGCATCACAGCTTTAGTCCCAATCTAAGAGACCTCAGCTGCCTTTAATAAAATAAGAGAAATATTTGGAGATCCACTGACAGTTCTGCAGTCTACATTAGGAAACCGCAGGAAGATTAGAGCTATACTTCATTGAGGTGAGCTATGTAAACAAAAGCCTTGCAGGCTTGATTGTGCTTTACCTTCTCTCCCTCTTATTTTCCATTGAATCAGAAAAGAGTTTGACTGAGGTACTTCCCATTACTATCCTGCTTTCCTGGACATAAGGAATGTTTCATCCCTCTTTGCTTATGTAACAGCTCTTGCCTCTTTCCATAAATGTGTTATATATGCTGCAAAATTGATTACAGTTCAAGAATATTGTTAAAATGAGTATCAACTATTTTCAAGAACCCTGTTTAACAAAGCAATGATTAGAGATTTTGAAGAATTACAAAAGTATATTTCTGCACTGGAAACTACTTGAGCTGATAGGGTGAAAGACTTGAAATCTTAAACTGCTTTTCCAGAAGCCTTTTAAATCTACATACTTGGTCCCATTTCCTGCTTTGGAGTAGCTGCTTGGTAGTCACTGCTGACATCAGATATCTTGCAGATAATACCTGCCCTTAAAATGTGTGTGTGTGTGTGTGTGTGTGTGTGTGTGTGTGAGAGAGAGAGAGAGAGAGAGAGAGAGAGAGAGAGAGAGAGGTCTCATCATTTGTGCTGATTTTCTAGAGATTAAAAAGGAAATAATTTCTCTAATGCAACCTCTTGGCCATGTAGTGTAGAGGCATGTGCCTACAGGATTCAGTTATTTTTCACCTTCTCTGATATATAAATTAGTAGCCAAGGAGATAAATACAGTTAAGTTTTAATTAAAAATGAACAGCATAAGGAAGGCCCCAAATCCACATGGTGATTCTTCTAAGCTGAGTTCTTTATTGTTTCACATCTACAGACAAATTCTTGCCAAACCAAACACTCTACTATCTACACCCACAATATACTCTGTGAACCATTAGGAAGGGGCTGTCTTCACCCTCTTTCTGTCACACATATTGGAACTGAGTTGCTTCTTACTCCTCTGGAATGTACCCCTCCCTCAGAAATCCACATCCTTACTACATTCTATCACAAAAGAAAGGGAATAAAAGAGACAATGTAATACTCCAAATAGATCAGAAGCTGCCACTAGGTTGACACCTGTCAAAAACGGGATAGAGAATTCCAAAGTTTAGATCTTCCTACATATTCTGTTAGGGACACGATGGCTCAGCGGTTAAAGATGCTGAGTTTGTCAGCTGGGAGCCTGGGTTTGAGACCCAAGCATCATGCAACGGGATGAGCTCCCATTCCTTGCCCTCGCTCCTGCCCACATGACAGTTCGAAAGCATGCAAATGCGAGTAAATAAATAGGTACCTTCGAATGCTGTTACCTGGGAAAGTAACAGCATTCTGTGTGCTTTTGGCGTATAGCACATGACCACAAAAAATGTCTTCAAACGGCCAAGAAACTGAGATGAGCACAGTGCCCTAGAATTGGATACGACTGGACAGGGAAACCTTTGCCTTTTTATATATCTGAAATATAAATTTACTGTAATGGTATGTGGCAATGATCCTGGGAAACGGGGCAAAGAAATGATCAAATCAAAAGCCAGCTTAGCCCACGGCAGGAATGTGGATGGGCAGGTGGATCAGAAGAGACAACACCCCCCCCCCAGTTTCTTGGGCAATAAAGGGAGCAGGGCGAGGGGAAGGAAGTACTTTCAGACTCGCAAGAGTCTGTTAATGTAACCTTACAATAAAGCAGAATGATGGCCATGTTTCCTGTCTGGTCTATCTCATGAGGCTGACAAAAGCTGAACCTTAGATACTGTACCTATCTTATACAGAAAAATAGAAACAAGAAACTGTAAAATTTAACTAGCATTAAACAGAAAAATAAAGATCAAGCTTCTAATGTAGTTTCCCAGCTAGACCTGTTTACCAGTCCCTTAGAGAAAAGCAGATTCATGAAAGAAAAATACCTTGCTTGCTTTTCTGGTTTTTCCAGTTTCTTGTAGATTGCAACCTTTAATCAGAGGCTCAAAAAAACAACTGTTAGTTCTTTTCTTTTCCTATTTCTGGTACCCAGCTTCTGCCTTTGTTCTAAAGAGATCAGAACTTTTCTACATCCACACAGTGAATGGGGAAAATCTTGAGTCTATGTAATTCAGGGCATGGACCTCATCTTCATGAAGATGTGGTTTCAGTATCTGAAAGAAATGACTCTGTATTCTGCATCTGACATGAGGTGCTATCCATCTGAAGAACTGTGCACACAAACTGCCTTCGCCTATGATAAAAAAAGAGACTACTTTAGTAAAAACATTTTTAGATATTTATGGCACACTTCGGAGACTATTTTAAAAGGATTCCATTTTTTTTTACTATCCAAAAGCTTGCTATTAAGCTTTTATGAAGAGTGGTTTAATAATATGAATGAGATTTGGATTATATACCAGAAATTAGAACTTTTATAGTACACACAGAACTACGGATTTACCAAGCATGATTGTAGCAAATAATAATAGTAATAGGTGCCTTGGCTGCAATTCCAAACCACCTAGGGCTCCATTTGAAGACCATCGGCATTGACAAAATCATCAGTCAATTGCAAAAGGGACCTTTGCTTGGAACAGCTTCCTGCAATGATAACTTTAACATCATAAAACAATACTTGCCTCTTCCAGGTTCTTGGGAAAGGCTCGATAGGTAGACAAAAATGTCAAATCCAGTGAAAAAAATCTGACTGACTGCATGACAAACCATAGCTTTTATTAAAATGATAAAATAGTTACATATGTTGACC